ATAAACGCTACCAAAATATGCACATGGCATTCTCCGCATTGGATTTATTTGCAGGACATCCGGCAAGTTCTGACACAGGTTGAAAGGCAGACTTTGTTTTATTGTGGTCTATAGCTGGTTTCCGAACACAATGCTTTCAACAAAGAAGTCCGATAGCAAGCCGGGCATGATAAGACGCGCCGCACAAAGTGAGAGGTGATGAGTGACAGACCTTCCTTATATGGCTTGTGAGCTCGAACCGGCCTGCTGCTATACATTGCCCGCTGGCATGGTTTACTGGAGGCTTTTACTAAGAAGTACACTTTTCCGCACAGAAGTCGTTTTATATAGGAGACGAATTCCCCCAGCTGTAGCCATTTTGAACGGCACCCAAAGTCGAGCCCAGGCGCCACTCTGGCGGACTCATCCGCCGATCCCTCCCAGAATACCGGGATAAAGATTACAGTCTCGGCGGGATTCCATTCATTGGTCCGTGGTTCCATCGCTTCCAAACACGATGCTATCGTGCTGAAGACAACCACGAACAACTTCAGTTGGTGGAAAGCCACTGAGACTTATGAGTAACAGGCTCTGACAGGCAGAAAAGCGTGCTTGCCCACAGTATTCGAACTGATGAATTCCTTGCAAACATTTCAAAGGGACCACATTGCCTCGCCTACCAACCTTTTTACTCGCAATATTGCATGAGGCGTGTTGCATCACCAGCTAGCCCTTTTTACCGCGATCCGTGCCAGTATGCAATGTGGATGTGGACAAATACGGCAATATTCCCAGCCATAGATTCAAGTACGCTGAACACGCTTCCCTTCTTCACAGACGATCTTTTCACGCAGAATCCCGTTCTTGCACACCTCGTCACACCGGTTTCTGACACAGTCGGTGCAGTTGACGTGTGCTCCGGATGCTGGTGTAGCTGAAGTCATTTAGATGAGGATGGAGCCCCGGATCTGGATCTGGATCTGGATCTGGATCGGGAATAGACGAGGGCGTGTCTCAGGCAAACAAAACACCGATGATGCTGAGACATTTTGTATTACTGATGTCCTGAAGATGCATGTAACGCAAATGTGTGCGGTTAGACGGTTTGTCTTTCGCCGTAGAAAAATGGACTGAAACGCAACTAAAACTGGTGTGGGGCTTAGCTCCTGTCAGTCGGTGCTGAGACCAAGACAGGGCCGAAGTGTTACACTACGAAGAAAACACTGCTGTCAAAAAGATGTTACATGAATGGGATGACAAAACCTCAACGTTCTGTATGTAGGTTAAGCTCAGCAAGGTTTTTTTTGCGTGGGTCCGGGCGATCTTAGGCCCTACATAGAGACGGACCCTTAAGCAATACCAAGGCCTTATATAGGAGGTGAAGTCAGCGCGTGCTAGATGTACGTCCGCCTAAAGTTACTGATGACATCGTGAGTGGACTCCACCCTGATCGGTCCGATCGGAATTCGCACTGTCAGGGGTTCTGAGAGCAGCGGTAGATTTGACCAGCTGACTAAAAGCTTGTGATTATTTACGTGACACGTACAACACAAATTGTCAGTTGAAATGCATCGTTTGCTGATAGCATAATACCACATCCACAACTCGCCTCTTTAAGACTGATGACAGCTACAGGTTTTACCGGAAATGTTTCACGCGAAAAGCACGACCGGACTAGACTGGCGGTACCTCGGAATGGCGGTACCTCGGACTGGCGGTACCTCGGACTGGCGGTACCTCGGACTGGCGGTACTGGGACTGGCAGTACCTCGGACTGGCGGTACCTCGGATCGGCGGCTGATCCCGCCCGCGGTGGCGGCGCACGCCAAACGCGCTGTCAGCGCGCCGCGAAGCACCAGCGGCGGCCACCGGCCAAATAAGCGGTTCCGCGTGACAGCTCGACTCCCCCGCGGCAGACCGGTATCAACAGCCACAGCGGGTTCGCGATTGGGTTAAAAAATAAACAAGGAATAAAGCTGAAATAAGAATTAGGTGCAAGCCCTGCGCCCGCCAACTGGAAAGCTTTCCATTTCCAAGCTTCCGATAACTTTCAGAAAAGCTGTTGGTAGTGCGCGCTTAAAAGCGATGCATTAAAATTGCCTTCTGAACTTCCAGCCTGCGCAGCACATGTGAGCAATACTTAACGCGCAACTTGTAAAACAAACATTCCGCAGGACATGCAACATGTAACACAAATGGGTCACGAAATATACCAATAAAGCTGAGCAAGCATCCTACGGATTACGTTACCTGAGCATAAATCAACCATCAAATATGCTATTCCTTCAAAACAAAACAGAACATATGCACAGCACTAACGTGAAACACAACCACCTCGAACTGTTCATGTGAAAAACGACATTTACCACTGGTGGGAACCGTATGCATCACCGGCAATGATAATGCGCTGACCTGGCTTTGACCTGGCGCAAGCTCGGCGCTAACTCTGTCCGCCTGCGCGGCAGGTAACCAGCCGCTCTCCGAGTCGGAGTGCTCGGTGCTAACTCCGTCCGTCTGCGCGGCAGGTAACCAGCCGCTCTCCGAGTCGGAGTGCTCGGTGCTAACTCCGTCCGTCTGCGCGGCAGGTAACCAGCCACTCTCCGAGTCGGAGTGCCCTGTGGCCGGCGAATACGAGGGCGTCATCCCAGACACGGAGGGACAGCTGGGCGCCAAGCTTTACTCCGACTGCAGCACCCCGGGCGTCATGTTCTACAGCGTGATCAGCCGCGCCAACTCCTCCGACGTCTACGAGGGTACGTGGGAGGGACGAGATAGCTCGGTTGGTAGCGGATCGGCTCTCCGCGTTGAAGGTCTGGGCTCGGTTCTCGGATGAAGCCAAGGCCACTGCGAACCAATGCGATAACGTCTGCCGCGAATCAGCGTTGCATGTCCATCACAAGGGCTGGACAGGAGGCTGGACCGATGTCAGTGACGGGCTGTCGCGTGCCGGTCATCTGTTGCTGCCGGCCAACGATGACGGGCTGAGCGTGGTCACTGGTCTTCTCTGGCGCCTGAGGCGCCTGCGAGCTCAGCCAACTGGAGGGAGGGAAGGGGACTGAGGGGATGTGCCGGGTTCAGTAAGCATTTGATAACTGGTGTGCAAGAATTGCACCGGTAAAGTTAGATTGTATTGAGCATTTTGATGAGAACATTACGGCAGCAAAGGATTTCGGATATGATGGCAGGCATTCCGTCAGGTATTTAGTGGTAAGTTTGTCACAGGGAGTACGGGCGGCATCAGCAATGAACACTGACGTTTTCATCACCGTCATCCGTGTAGTTATCGGGTGATAAGCTGATATATCTATTGCTGAAGTCTTTATCTGTGCTGTTTCTTTCTATTTTTGAAATACCAAGCACACTGCCTGTGGTTGCAGTTGTTTTTAAATATTTCGGCTGGTAATGAGGGTTCCGGAACTGTTCTTCAGCAGTGTCAGGGATATGCTTCATGTGTGGGTCTTGGGAGTTGCCCCGTTATATGGGAACCATATGTTCTCCATTTGCCCGCTGCGTTTTGTTCCAGTGTATATTTTCAGTACCATCTTGATCGTCCTCGTGACGTTTTCAGGTGTCCAAGGGACGTCCCTTGGCTTAGAGGGAGGGCCATGGCCCCCATGGTCCTTCCCGTCGCCACTTCCTTTGTCCAAGGGGCGTCCTTTGGCTTAGAGGGAGGGCCATGGCCCCATGGTCCTTCCCGTCGTCACTTCCTTTGTCCAATGGACGTCCCTTGGCTTAGAGGGACGGTCATGGCCCCCATGGTCCTTTCCGTCGCCACTTCCTTTGTCCAATGGACGTCCCTTGGCTTAGAGGGACGGCCATGGCCCCCGTGGTCCTTCCCGTCGCCACTTCCTTTGTCCAATGGACGTCCCTTGGCTTAGAGGGACGGTCATGGCCCCCATGGTCCTTTCCGTCGCCACTTCATTTGTCCAATGGACGTCCCTTGGCTTAAAGGGACGGCCATGGCCCCCATGGTCCTTCCCGTCGTCACTTCCTTTGTCCAATGGACGTCCCTTGGCTTAGAGGGACGGTCATGGCCCCCATGGTCCTTTCCGTCGCCACTTCCTTTGTCCAATGGACGTCCCTTGGCTTAGAGGGACGGCCATGGCCCCCGTGGTCCTTCCCGTCGCCACTTCCTTTGTCCAATGGACGTCCCTTGGCTTAGAGGGACGGTCATGGCCCCATGGTCCTCCCCGTCGCCACTTCCTTGCTAATCATGGTGTTAAAGGATATAAACAAGTTTTACTACCCGAGTGCATGGATGTGATAAATCCCCCTGCTTAAGTCAAATATACCTGCCGGAAAGGACATGCTGATTGCAATGTAGAGCAGCCTATTACAAAGAAATGTTATAGCTAGGGATTAAAAATGCATGCTCCAGCAAACTACCCCGTTGTTATCGTGGACCGCGCATATAATGGTCAGAACGTGCCAGTTCGGTGTGCAATTTTCTCATCACGTGTCACACACGCGCCCGCAGTTCATGACAGGCTTTCACTATGATCACCCCTTTGTGTGAGACCGGTGCACCGGTCGCACCTGACCACAACTGTCTGAATCGGGCCGCTCGGGCGCAAAAGGTCAAACCCAAAACACAAACCCTGAGGGCGGTGATCAGCCTTGTAAAGGGGTAGAGATGCCGCCACTTTTTCATTTGATTTCCTCTTCCTGTCACG